GGGGGCCGGCAGCGGGAGGAGGCGGGACGTCGCTGCGGGCCCTTCAAGCGGGGGGGCCTTTTTGCAGAGTCACCCGAAGAAGTGTTTTTATTTAAAAAAAAAAAAAAAAAGGGAAATGCGTTATCTACAGAGGCTGACGAGTAGGTTGTTTCCAAGGAGGCTTTGTAGCCTTTCGTTAATGGAGGAAGCGCATTCGCTACTAGCGGCAGTATTGGGGAGTCTGTGCTGCCGAGAGGGATTTCTGCAGAGGAAAGAACAGTCGGTTCCCTGCGCGAACAGGAGCAGATTCAGTGCGTATAGTTCAGTCGTTTGTCAGGGCGAGTGGTTCCTGTTCAGTGGTGATTCTGTAACGAACATCAGCAGCGGTAATTAGAAAAGGTTTTCCACTGTAAGTCTAACCGGTAGTTTGCTTTGTGTGTTTAAGTCTGCTTATGGTAAGAACTTCATTTAAGAACTAATGCTTTTTGTTTTCTCAGTGTTTTAGAAACCCGTAAGCATGCAATGGAAGTTTTTGTGTTGTGTTCTTGCATTTCTGCAACCACTAGATCTGCACGAACAGTGAATTTATCTGCTGTAAAGTCACAGTTCCCCTCAAGCATTGGAACAGGCTGCCCAGAGAGGTGGTGGAGTCACCATCCCTGGAAGTGTTCAAAAAACGGGTAGATGTGGCACTCTGGGACATGGTTTAGTCTAGTCTACCCTTGATTGGTTTAGTGTAGACTTGGTAGTGTAGGTTAAAGGTTGGACTGGATGATCTTAAAGGTCTTTTCCAACCTAAACAATTCTGTGATTCTAACTGAGTGGGAAGAGAGAAGTAGGCAATAAACACGTCTGTACCTAATTGATTTTTGTAATGTGTATGTGACAAAAGTTTCACAAGAGCAGAACTACTTAATTGGATTGTGGTAGTGATTTTGGGGGTGGGGAGGGACCCAAACACCCTAATATTAGGGACTGAAGTTCTTGACCTGTCTGTGTGCTGGCAGTGTGGGTGAGGAGGGGATTGAAGAGGTGTTGTGTTCTGCATGGATTAGATACAGCGACCGTCTGTTTTACAACAGAGTGGGTACCTTCAGATCAGACATCAGTTCCAAGTAGAACACAGGCTAGCCGATACTGATGGGTGGCTGATGCTGAAGGTGGTCTTTGCAGATAGGAGACAAATGTAAACTAAGAAAATCTGAGTGCACAAGAGTTGGAATAGAAATTTTTTATAGTACAACTAAGTACATTGCGTGCTTTAGTATGTGCTAGCAGTCACTGCAAATAAACAGAAAAAAACATTTTAGATTTAGATGTATATGTTTTTGTTTTTCAGACCCCATCAGCTGTTCAGAAGATAAAACAGCTTCTTAAAGATAAACCTGAGCATGTAAGTATAAACAGGGCCAACCTGTAGATTGTGCTAAGGTGTTAGCACAGCTCATGATCGCAAAGCATTTCTGGCTTAGAAGTTTGAAATAAACTCTGAGGTGGTTATTAGAGATGTTGGTATCTTTTTTTTTTTGGAGGGGAATGCGTAAGCTTGTTTATATATCAGGCTTTGTTTCTTTATAAAACAAAATGCAAGAAATAGGACATTTCACTGTACAGTTACTTTTGAGATACATAAAGTTGAAAAAATTTTAAGCTTCAAAATACTTGTAGGAATTCTCATTTTGAAGTATATAATAATAAAGTTAGATTCATACCCATTGGAAAACTTCTAATTCTTGGGAAACTTCCCAGACCATGTATTTTTTTTAAGTAATTGGTCTTTCTCCAAATAACTGACTGAGCTTGTCGTCTTTTCTTCTTGGGGAAAAACACCCAGAGTCTGTCTTTCTATCCATTATAAAAACAACCATTAGATTTTCTTCTATACAGTAAGTATTATTTCAAGAAGAATATGTCTCTCTTAACTTTCATACAAGGCCCATTGTTTCTTTTGCTTCCTGCACACCTGCAACTAACTAGACTCTTTGTTTTAATGTTTTAAACCATCCTAAGGAAGCCCTAAGCTTACAGCTTAGCTGGTTGGTCATCCCCTTGCTATACATTGCATTTTCCAGCCCATTATTTGCAGCAGTTCCGGTAGAGAAAGATATTTAGTCTGAAACAGTCAAATGCTGTTTGTCTGAGATCCCACTTGAGAACGAGTGATATATTTTGATACATTTGTATTGTAACATTGATTACTGGTGTAGACAATATACTTTCCAATTATGAAGCATTGGTGTGTGGAAAGTGGTACAGATACTTTTGAAAGATCGTTGTGCACAAATAGTTTTCTGTTTCTTGAAAACCTTTCCTCAGTTCTTTACTGACACAGGTGTTCTTTTTGCCAGACTTGTTGGTTACTGTGGATGTTACAAACATGTTGACTAGATTGGCTTTTAAGGTCGGTTAAAACAGTAAGCAAATAAACATACTTGATTTAAGGAGGGGATTGCTTTTCCAGTGAGGCTGGTGATAGAGGTAATGAAACCAAAGTACATTTTTCAAAACTTTGATTTGAAGAAAGTGTTCTGATGGTGTCATTACAAGAGTTCTATGAAAATCTAGTAACTGCCCTTGTCTTGGCCTCACAGCTTCATAATTACATTACTGTCAATAAGCTTAACATAGCACCTGAATTAGCATCTGAGTGAACTTTAGTTTGAAGTCACAAAAATATCTGTCTTTGAAATTTGACTGTCTTTATGAGACCAGGCACCTACAGGAGCACCAACAGTTTATTACTTCACAGCTTATTACTTCAAAACTTTAACATACTTTAGGGCTTGATCCACAGTAGCAAACATCTGATGTTTGCTTTTACCTTGGCAGTCAATTCTGTAAAAGGAGAAAAATGTTACCTTTTAATCTGCTTAAGCTAATTCACTTCTGCTTTGAGGCAGTGGAAAATAATACATGTTAACATTTTGTTGTTCTGTGTACTTTTCATCTTGGTGTTCCAGGATAAGTTTTAAGAAAGTCATGAATGTGGGCTTGGTTTGTTTTTTTTTTAGGTAGGTGTGAAAGTAGGTGTTCGTACAAGAGGATGCAATGGACTTTCTTACACGTTAGAATATACAAAATCGAAAGGAGACTCTGATGAAGAAGTAGTTCAAGACGGTGAGTTTCTGATGCAGCAAACTTCTGTGGTGGTAGTGAAGAATAACTTACTACAGGTTTGTCAAGGTACAGGTTAGAACATTACTTGAAGTAACGAGTTATAGCAAGAGGTCCTACTTTTCTGTTACAGGAATTGTTGTCACCTTAGTTTCTGTTTTGAAGTAACCAGTTACTTAAAATGTGCAGCTTTGCAGTCTCTGCGTCAGAGACTGCTCCACCAGAATTGTCTACTCCATCGTTCATGTCTTCGAAGGTGGCTAATAGCAGACATTTAGAGAAAAATACAGAACAATGCATATATAAAGGAATACTGTATCAGCATGCCTAAAACAAGGCTTGCCAAAGTAAAGATTTTATTTGCAAGGGATTTCCCCAGTTATCTTCTCTAACTAGTGTTACTCTTCATTGATTTGTTAATTTGTTTTTAACCTCTTTATGCTTTTGACCTTTACATTTGTAACAACACTTCTGATGATTTTAAGAGTATTTTTAAAATTGTTTTCATATGCTGGTATTTAAGCTTTCTGCCTGATAATTTCATTGAGCATCCCATGATAGGTCTATTGCTAAAGTTCCTGTCGTGGCTTAACCCCAGCCGGCAGCAAAGCCCCACAGAGCCACTCACTCTCCCACCGTGGGATGGGGGAGAGAATCAGAAGAGTAAAAGTGAGAAAACTCATGGGTTGAGATAAAGGCAATTTAATAAGTAAAACAAAAGCCATGCAAGCAAAGCAAAACAAGGAGTCCATTCCCTACTTCCCATCGGCAGGCAGGTGTTCAGCCATCTCCAGGAAAGCAGGGCCCCATCACGTAACAGTTGCTTGGGAACACAAACGCCATCACTCCAAAAATCCCCCCTTCATTCTTCTTCCCACAGCTTTATATGCTGAGCATGAGGTAATATGGCATGGAATATCCCTTTGGTCAGCTGGGGTCAGCTGTCCCAGCTGTGTCCCCTCCCAACTTCTTGTGCACCCCCAGCCTGCTCACTGGTGGGGTGGTGTGAGAGGCAGAAGAGGCCTTGACTCTGTGTAAGCACTGCTCAGCAATAACTAAAACATCCCTGTGTTGTCAATACTGTTTCCAGCCCAAATCCAAAACAGAGCCCCATACTAGTTATATGAAGAAATTTAACTCTGTCCCAGCCAAAACCAGCAGAGTTCTATACTTCTTTCCAATTTTTACAAAAATTTCTGTCAGTGGTCATTTTGTCAAATACGGATTTTTTACAGAAGCATAATAGTGCTTGTTTTGGTTTCTGTTCTTTTTCTAGAAGTTCCTAAAATTCCTTCTGTGGGGGTGGTTTTGGGGTTTTTTAGGCATTACTGAACTCAGTTATACTATGTTCAGGAATATTACTTTTAATTTGGTGGCAAAGTAAGAGATTTGAATATAAGTGGGATAGCACAACTATTTTCTCACAGAAGCTATGCTGCTAGGCAGAGCCCATCTTCCAGCTCTCTCTATTTTGAAAATACCTGTGTCCAACTTGTAGATTTTGTTCTCTTAAACAGAGCATTAGTTGGAACTTCAGCAAATCATTACATTGAACCAGAGTATGTGAGATAGGGACTGCCACCTAATTCTGCAGGGGCCTCTTGATTTCAGATTCAGCTGGCTTCTGGAGTTACCTCTTCTGCTTGACTCGGAGCTCCTCTAGCTTTGCAGGGCTGAAAACACATGTGTTTTGGCAGGCATTTGCTGGTTTGGATCTTGAGGAAGATAAAAGCAGTTTCCCTCAGTCAGGTCAGAGACCTTAAGTTCCAAAGCCAGGCAGCATTTCAGGTGTGCCTGTGTGCTTTCTGTTTTGTTTTGCTTGCTTCTAGACAGATTTCCAGTGAAGGCTCTGACTTTAATATAGCTCTGTGCTCACTGAGCTGGTGGCTTTGGATCCCAGCACAAATTTTTTGGCTTTTAGGTAGTACGTGACTGCTTTGGGGATCAGATCCATAAACTCTTTCATTAGGTTTAGCCTTCGCTGTCAGTTACTATCCAAATTGACCCTAAAATGTGTAGATTCAACTCAGTTGCCCACAGACTTGGGTTGTGTTGGTAATATGTTTTGTCTCAATGTCTACTATTGATGAAACAGCTTTCCAGCAATCTCATATAACTTAGTGAGTTCTTGTTGCTGTTTACTGATACGATTTTACATTTTTATTTTTCTTATTTCCTAGTCTGTGGACACCTAAAGCAGCACACTCACAGCTTTTTGACAGATTTGCAATTTTAAAGTTCAGTAGCTTTCCAGAGAGGTAGATACTTTGTATACTTCAGAAAAGGAGCTCTTTCTAGCTCCTGAGATGAACTAGTAATTCTTAATCTGTAGAGGTTGTGATATCTTTGAAAGTTCACACATTTGCCGCCTTATAGGATTCAGTATTGTTAATACTTAATGTAGACCCAGTAGTTTTGCCAGAGCAAAAAATAATCATTTTGAGAGAGGAATGTTTGGTTTTTCAAGGTTTTGGGGCATCTTGTTGGATGCACAGACTTTTAAGAATGGCAGGAAATGGGTTACTAACTGTAATGTATGGGAGTTAAGTATTGAAGCTGAGATTCGTTCCCAAGTTCTACAGCTTATTTCCCTGGGTATCACATTTTTAAAACATATGCACACCCCCACCCCCCTGCCCCTCCCCCCAAATACATACATTCATGTGCAAGCATGGAAGACAGTGCTAGACTGTTGCTAGAGTTTTATAGGTAGAGTAAAAACAGTGATGAAAGTGCCCTGTGTTAGGCCAGGCAAACCAAGTTATACTGGTAGTCTTCATATTTAGTTTCTGGTTTTTATTACTGGTCAAAAGAGAATTTTAAAATGACTGATGATTTTGCTGTATGTAATTTTTTTCTTTGTCTTCAAGGGGTTAGAGTGTTTATTGAGAAGAAGGCACAGCTGACGCTTCTAGGAACTGAAATGGACTATGTAGAAGACAAACTGTCCAGTGAATTTGTCTTCAATAATCCAAACATCAAAGGAACATGTGGCTGTGGAGAAAGCTTTAACATCTGAAATCTCAGGACTACTACTTTGACTTTGAACACCCCAAAACACACACTATTACAGCTTTTGGAAGCAAATGCATTTTCTTCAGGTTCGTAGGCTGCGTAAAGTGTGGATACTGTTAAGAAAAATAAAGTTAAATAATTCTGAAAATGTAAACTGTGTTAAATTCCACCACTGATGTAGTTATGCTGTAATTTGTGATGAGTTGGGATCCAAAAGGTAAGAACAGTAAGTGCTGTAGCAACATCTCTGTACTTTCACATGCCAAGGAAATAAAATCTCACTGTTCTTTCCCCTTGTCATTTTCTTTGTCCACTCTACTGCACCCAAAACCCATTTGAAAGAATATATTGCCTATATGTTCTGCTTTGATTTGGGGGGAAAAAAACAAAAAACCCCAACCATTTATATGTGTTTGTTTATAAAAATTTATATACACAGGCATGCAGCCCTCAGCTTCAGAGTTCACGATGATTATGTAGATGCTTGCTTTGTTTTCGTAGCTTTTTGATGCTTTCATCTTTTTATGTGTGGGTTTTCTGGTGGTTTATTTTCCCATACATCTGGGGAAGTCCAAAAACAAGTTCAGGTATTGATACAGTGGTAGGCTGCCATAGCACTGCTTGTAGAAATACTTCAAAATGGGCTAACCCAATTTTAATTCTGTTCTTTTCCTTGTTGAATGCACAGTCTCTGCTGTACTTAGTCATTTTCAAGAGCATGAAATATATTCAGGCACTGGAGTACTAAAGCAGGATACACACAGGCCTCCTTTCTCACATTTCTGTTGTTTATCTTTCTTGACTTAAATTGCAAAGTTGATAAAACTGCCTCCAGATTCTGTTTCCCCGTGCTCACAGAATGTGCTGTCTGTGCACCAAAAGCTATGAACGTTTTTTCTGAGAGAGAAATTTTACACTTTTCATTACCTTTTTTTTTTTTTGTCATGTCTGCTACTAGTTTTGTTACAGCTTGAGCTCTGTTTTGTAACTGTGTAGGCACTAGGGTTTTTCACCAAAGCTTATGGTAACTTCTATTTAACGTGTGTCTTGAGGTTAACTTGGTAACAGGAGAAAAGCATTTATAATTTAAAAAACCCTAGTATTTCATAATTGGTTTAAATTACTCCAGACAGTAATTAAAATACTATGTTTATAGGAGGCTGGTTTTTTCTTTGGAATTTAAACTTACTTTCTCCTAATCAGAATTTTGTTTTTGTAAACCAGTGTTTTCCAAGCTTACAAAGTCTTCAGCACTTCTTTGCTGGTGCTCAGGCAGAAATATAAATGTCTCTCCAGGCCTTCCCAAAAGCTGGTATGAGAGAAGTACCGCTCCATCCTTTTATCTCCGTGTTTCCCTGATTGTCCAAAGAGGACGTTACGCAGCTAAGCTGCTCACTTGTGGAGAAGGGGAGGTAATGTGTCTGCCTGGGCAACTGATTGGAACAGCTGGTTACAAGGGTGCACATAAAAGTAGGGGACAACAGGGACGGGGATCTTGCAGTCAAGGACAAGAAGGTGTTGAGATGGGAGAGAACGGAGAGCGTTAAGGCTGCATGTTGAAAATCCAAAGGTTGCGTTGATCTGGACAGTTGTTGCACCCACGTCTCTGTCAACAACTTGGGAATAGTAATGTGCTGAAGACACAGGACTGCAGCTATGTTCCCTCTACACCTTTCCCCAAACGGCTTGGGGAAAGGTGTAGAGGGAAGAATAAAAATGAAAAAATAATTCTTGATCTGTTTCATGTGGTGCACAGGAACAGAAGGTCAGAATTTCCAGGCCTGTAGTTCAATATTAAATACTTGAATTTTGGTTGTACACCACATCACCTCTTGATTAAAAACGCTATTTCCTTCAACAGTCAACTGTTGTACGCAGTTACTTTATGTAATGATTCAGGAATCACTGGTAATACACTGGCTAGGTGCATTTATAGTGCTGTAAGTCTTTCAGTCTTGCCAAACAAAAAAAAATGCAGTTAATGTGATGCAGCTGCGTTAATATGTCTAAAACTCCAAGCTAAGGGTGTTTCTTCAGATTGCATTTCCCTGGCTCTTGCTAGAGGATAAGACTTCGAATGTGGTAGCACTGGTGGTTGCTAAGAGTGCTAGTACTTATTCCTTTACCTTGTTTTGGTGTGTTGCAGGGGGGGTGGTTTGGGGTTTTGGGGGGTGGGTTTGTTTTTTTTTTTTAGACCTGTGGCACGTATAGCAATCCTTTTCATGTGTTTGTGTATATGCCTTGAATGAAAGTTTGCACTTTCGTATGCCCATGAAATGATCATCTAAATTGTCACTTTACTAGGACACCTAACGCACAATGTGTTAAACTTCTGTTAAAGTGCTATTTGCAGTTACATAGGAACATGGTTTTGTTGATTGGTCCACTATAATTTTGTGCAATACTGTATGTAGAGTTCTGAGTTATAATAATAAATATTGTCTATTGGTAAACAGGAAATATTCCTATCTTGAGTGATTCTGTTCACAATAATAAACAAGCACTGGGGCAAGGGGGAGAATAGGTTTGTATGCTGGGATTACAAAGTAGATAAAATACTACTGTTACCTGAGTTAATGTTTCTTAGAAATGTTAAAACATGTCCAAATGTTAAAACATGTCCAAATGTTGAAAGCATTGGAATAGCATAGAAACATATGGTAAATTAATTGACTATGTACAGAGAGGTATTTACACATACCAGAAAGGTGGACTGTTAATGTGTAGACTTAAACTTTGTGACACACTGTTCTCTGGGTAAAAATTCTTAACAAGCAAGATGCTTATTTTGAAGGCTTCTGCATGCCAAGAAGTCATTGTGGTATGCTTTAATGCAGGATAATGATTTTGATCAAAGTAACTGTTGACATAAAGGTTTTTAATTGGCTAGGCAATT